TTTTGCCAAGAGCAGCTTGGCTGCCAAGGCTACTTCAGCCTTGACTCATAGCTCCATGATCTGGGAGACAGTGCAGTGTCCTGCTGTGCTGGACATCTTCCAGTGGCATTGACCCAATGGGGGGCTGAGGGGAAGACTTCCTGATGCTAAGAACGAGAAACTTGCCTCCAAAGTCAAGTTCCTGCACCACCTACTTGACTGACGTGGGAAGATGGAGCCAGAAAGGGTGCTGAGAGCAGACTCCAGGTAGGTCTATGGACTAGACCCCTTCGCAAACTGAATTTTTTAAAAGTTCATCACACACAAATTTGCATCTGATTTCCTTTCAGGAGATTCGAGCTCATTCTTGCACTGCCCATCAATCTGAAGATATTTCTTCTAGATCAAAGTCTTCCTAGAACCTTGATAAGGGTGGACTGAGAGTACAGGGGGTACAGCTCTAGGCCACCACCCCACCATCACCACCAACACATTTACTGAACCCCAAGGCAGCCCCGTCATCTTGTCAGCCAGTAATTACTTCTGACAAAACCCAAACGGAGAAACAGACGTGATCTTCGTTTCTGGTTCTCTCCACGCATACCACTCCAGGGACCTGGTCATTGATGAATCTTAATCCTCACTTTAGTTTCTCAACTACAGCTTCCGGTTCCTACTTTGCCAAGCTCATCTGGGGGGAGCCAGTCCTGTGTCCCCTCATTAATCCACAGACACCCACCTCACTCTAAGGAATCCGGCACTCCCCCAAATGCCCACATTTGACCACTGGAGGGCAGTGCTGGACCAGCCAAAGCTCTTTAAGCTCCTGCTCCATCTTTGTGCCCACCAGGCCGGAGCAGAACGGGATGCAGCCTTTGGTTGGAAGCCAAAACCGAGGACCACAGGAGCGCCCCGAAAGAACCACCAACACAGCCAGGCCTGTTACAACAGCTCCCTGCACCTGGCATCATAGGAACAAAAGGCAGTTCAATGAAAAGCGGATTTGGCTCCCTAAGTGGCACAATCCCCTGGGAAAGAGACTGAAAGGAAAACTTGCCCCATCATGTCATTAACCAGGAACAATCTGTGTCTCTGACCAGGGGTTGCAGAATCCTACCTTTCTCTACCCACTCAGATGTAAGCTCTCGGCAGTACTCCTGGGGCTTGGCAATAACGTTTGTTGAATGAGTGGATGCAAGCATATATACGTGCACATAATCGAAATGGGCCATGACCAGATCTGCTGCTGTTTTCCAGCTCTTACGACATCTAAAGTTGAAGCCATCAACTAGCTGCTGAGCATTCTTAGTCCTGGAGACAGCTAAGGAGATCCAGGTTATTGATCAGCGCAGTGGCTGTTGTGGTACAGATGTTATTTTAAAAGCCACCTCAAGATTTTCAATCTCTTACTTTTAAGAAGACCCTCATTCTGTCAACCATGTGTCCTCAGACCTCCCCAGCCTGTGGATTAAAAAAATACAGGCATTGTTTCCTTAACATCCAGCTCACAGAAACGGCAGCCTCTAATGTGAGAATACTGAGCAGCCTTTCACTCCCCGGGGGATTTGTGGTAATTTTGTCCCACGCTGGGGCCCCGTGGGCCTTGACAATTCCCCTCAGCCAGAACTGCTCCTCAGGCCGCCTTGGGTCATCTGCTGAGGCTCATCTCCACGTTACTCTCGCCTTTAGCCACCCCCTACAGATCCCATGGGATCATGTCAGTGTGGACACAACCTGCTCCCGTGATCATTTAAGGCACAGCTATACGCATGAGGAGAGAAAGAAGTGCACATTTTGAGACCCTAAAACCACATGAGGCCCTTTCTGTCCCCCCACAGGCTTTCACATAGCAGTGACCAGTCTGTGCCCCAATAAAAATCTGCAGATGTCCCCACGTTTCCAAGTTCAGAGTCTAAGACTAGCTCCTTTCCTGCCCTGAGTCGAGGGACAGTGGCAAAAGTCATTTCCTGCTGGGAGGCTCTCCTGCACCCCCTACTCTCTCAGATGGAGTCTGGCCTTCATGGCCCTACAGGGCAAACACAGTGTTATTAGATCCTAGAATATCACCTATGGGACACCAATGGCCCTGATTAAATTCATACTGGGAGGGGGGGTCGGAATCTGCCCCTAATTCTAATTAAGAAAGACACCAATTAGTTTTTAACCAAACATTTACCATCTTAGTGTATAACATCTGCATTTAGTTCTATGACAACTTCATCATCTCCACAACAACGAGTGGATATTTGTTTCGGATGTGAATAAATGCATTCTCAACCTCACTCTAGTTTTATCCACAAAAGAAGAGTGCTCTAAACTTCACCTCTCTACTCTACCAACGGAACCCCAACATCCCCCAAGAGCCTTCAAGGAGCAGTTCTCCAGCCAAAGGTGGGAGGGGGGGAGAAAGAAAAGTCCTCCCTTTATAAGTTGTCCCTTTTGTGAAAAATTCTAACTAAAATTTCACTATCCAGTTCAAAACTAGGTCCTCAGACGACATGGCTGGTCCTCATCCTTCTCATGAAAATACTGTAAATCAAAGGATACCTTTCCTGAGAGCAAGCAGAAATTGAAAAAAAAAAAAAAACAATTCATTCCAATACAGCATTTTTCTATCACTGTCCATGGGAGTTGAGTTGATCATATGTTAAGCGTGTCCTAGCCTATGTACCTTCTCAAGATGCCTTCACTGTGATTAAGGGACAGGCCTCCAGGGTAGTGTCTCAGTTCTGTACCTGGAAGAAACAACATCAGGAAATTTCTGGAAGAGAGGAGATTGACAGTCAAAGACAAGGGAAGGATGGTCCCCAGGGCTAGCTCCTGTGTTCAAATACAGACATGTCTCAGGCTCTGGTTGCCAGGTCCTGGTCTGTGGTGGGTGGATAATGCCCAAGGCCTTGATACTAGGTCTGATGTCCAGGTTTGACATTGACGGCAGGCTTGTGATTTTGAAAAACCCACAATCTTTCTTTCCCAAATCCTCAACCTTCTGACACCTTGTCCTAGGAGAGAAGTGTCTGAGATGGTTTCCCTTGAAACCACGGGCCTTTCTTACAATTCCAGGGCCACGCAGCCCCGGTTCGTAACTGGTGGGTTTTATTTTGCCACTGCTGTGGCAGTGAGATCAGATATCAAGTTAATGTAAAAAGTGAGGTAGACAATGAGAAGGATCAGAAATAGGGACCTGGAAAGAGGAAAGAGATTCGGGAGACACTTCACATGTGGATGAATGATATGCGGGAGCTGAAGGAGAAGGGAGAGATGGCCTCTTCCTGGCATCCTGGAAAGATATGCTGGAATATTCTCTCGTTCTGTCAGAAATTAATTCTTACTTGTTTTTTTAATACATGAAGGCTTAAGATGTCAATCCTCCTAAAAAATTAGAGCCCCTTTCCATTAAAATGGCTTTGGGTATGACGTTTCCCCTGCCACCAGAGACAGCCTTCTCCCTAGGAATCTTTGGTGAGCCTTTCTGCAGTCACCATGAGCACACATCTATCTTCCCAACCAGCTCCCAAACATCATTCACGCTGCTATGGCCCTGCCTCTGGAGGATCCCCGGCCACCCCATCACACGGCTCCATAGGCACAGCCCCTGCCATGCCACCAGCCCCCACCTCCACATCCCTGGGTGTGAGTCTGTGTGGCCTCTGCTATCCCCAACTCTCTTCTGTGTCATCCTGAGTCCAGGCATTCTGGGATGAGTGTCTCCTTGTTTCTTTGTCCACTGTCCTGTTATGCCTTTAAATTTGCTCATGAGAATATCTTGCAGAAAGATGAGTAGTCTTGGGAAAGAGACAAAGAAAAAGATGAGGTAAGTAAGATGGGAGCAGAAGTGGGAGGAAAAGTTTTGATAAAGGCGATAAAAGAAAAAAAAGAATTCTTGACCTCCATCAGCCCTGACTCTCAAAATAAGATCGGCCCTAAAGAGAGCTTATTATTTATCCCAAATTAAAATTTCCTGGCTCTGCAGTCATTGTGTATACAATGAAAAGGAAGCCATCACACAAAAGATGCAGTTATCCTCACAGTGGGAACAATCACAGCCAAGCTGATTCTGCTCCAAAAATAGAACGATAACAGTGCTAAGTCAGGAACTCCAAGACTTTGGAGCGTTAACAAATAGAATGATCTCTCGATAGGAAAATGGCGATAAGGGAAGGTCGGTAGAAATGGAACCCTCTGATTCTTGGATGGGGTGCGGGTCGCCCGGGAAAACGGCAGTCTGCGCTCCTCCACGGTGAGCTCACAACCAGCTGTGTTGACTGGGAGAAAGCCCTGCCTGGATTCGGGAAGACCTCAGAAGCCCCTTCACCCGCCCCTGCCCAGCTTCCTGTACGTTGTTTGATGGGCTGTACCTCCTTCTCTTGCCTGAAGTTAAACATCATCATCAGAATTTTAACTTCACGGTGGCAGAAACTTGGGCTGGTTTCTGCTTCCATTGCATCCTCAGCACTCAGCAGAAAGCTTGTATACCATTGGCACTCAATAAATATCTGATAAATGGACACTTGCTTGATTAATCAAGTAATGAAAAATGAACAGATTACTTCCTCCCTGTCTGGCTTCTGAGTTGTGGGTCCCAGAAGCAGAAGCTGCTAGGTGGGCCAGAAAAAAACATAGGATGTCTAGGAAAAGAACTGTTCGTACCTTTCCTCATCCTTCTGTGCATGTCAGAGCCTCAAAACTCAGGAACAAGGACCCCAGAGATCGTGACCCCCCCCCCAAGTGTCTTTCAACAAAAGACTATCTCCCTGGTTGTTTCTTTTCAAAGGATCAGCCTCCTGGGGCTGATAAGAGAATGGCACCATCTGCTGGAAACACAGGTGACGAGCGGCAGAGGGGCACCAGAACCTCGTCGAAAGGGGCCTGTTGGATTGCTGCCTTTGAACGAATCCGAATCCGAGTGTGTCTTTCAATAGCGCAAGCACCAACCACCCCCCAGGACCTCTTTCCTTTATTGCTGCAGCAATGAAGCAGCCACATGGCTGTTGCAGATAAGGTGGCCCGAGTGCATCACGCATGCAAAGTAGGCTTCGCGGTAAACAGCACGGAGAAGAACCACAGATGCACCATGTCCCGGCTTCTCTGCCTTGTGCTGCCCTTCCTCTGTAAGTGGCTCCCAGGTACGTCTGTGCGATTTCCCTCCACTTCTCAGTCCTCATTTCCTATCCTTTTTCTTTTGTCAGATGGCTCCTGCAGGACTGAAATTATACAGTCTTCCAACCTAGCTGCCATGATCGGGACAGATGGGACGTTTCAATGCCAGTATAATATTCTCGTTGGGAATTATGACTCTGTGTACTGGTATCTGCAAAGAGCTGACCAAAGGCTCACCAATATCAACCATATATCTCAAGGCACCATGGAATCGGAGCATTACCTGTTGTCTGTGAACAGAGAGCTGTCCTCCAGTACCTTAACCATTAAGCATGTGCAGCCAAGAGACAAAGCCATTTACTACTGTGCTTTCTGGCACCATGATACAGACTGTGCATCACACTGAACAAAAACTGTAAGCCTCAAGCAAGTTCAACGCCGAAAATCCAAAGCGTCATCCAACAAGAAAGAAGGTGTTCAGTGTCATCTTGGACTCGCCCCATTCATTCCTCGGTTCATTCATTCAAAACCAAGGGGCCCTTATGGTTTACAAATGAATATACTAAGTGCTATGGGGATACAAAGATAGAAAACAAGCATTTCTCAAATAATAAAATGTAGGGGCGCCTGGGCAGCTCAGTCATTAAGCATCTGCCTTTGGCTCAGGTCATGATCCCAGGGTCCTGGGATCGAGCCCCGCATCAGGCTCCCTGCTCCACGGGAAGCCTGCTTCTCCCTCTCCCACTCCCCCTGCTTGTGTTCCTGCTCTCACGATCTCTCTGTCAAATAAATAAATAAAATCTTTAAATAATAATAATAATAATAAAATGTATTCAGAGTAGAGTCTCCTCACTTTTATCTTGCTAAGCCATGAGCAGTGAAACTAAATACTGTGGAATTACTTGAACCTTTGACCTGACAAATAACAGCATAGTCCCCAATACCCAGAGAGACAAATGAATTGGACACACATACAAATTCAAAGCCAACGATCAACATCTTAATCACAGACCCTTGAAAACCTATCATCATTTCTAAAAAGCTGAAAAAATATATTAAATATACATATATACATCCCTGGGAAACTAGATCGATTAGATAAATAGATAGATGATAGATAGATAGATAGATAGATAGATAGATAGATAGATAGATGTAGAGTAGGCAGCATAGTGCCAACAGACTGAGCTCAAATTCAGACTTGAAATCCAGACTTCTTAGGTTTTGAATCCCAGATCTTCCATTTACTGACTTACTAGCTATAGGACCTTGGGCAAGTTATTTTATGCCTTGCTATCCTCATCTACGAAATAATGATAATAGTCGTTGCCTGGCTGGCTCAGTAGGTGGAGCATGCAACTCTTGATCTTGGGGTCATGAGTTAGAGCCCCATGTTGGGCATAGAGATTACTTAATAAAATATTTTTAATTAAAATAATGATAATCATCACTGTAGAGAATTGTTACAAGAATTAAGTGAACTATTACACATCATGCACTTAGAACTATGCTTGGCACATAGGAAGCACTCGGTTAGCACCAGCTACCCTCGGTGGTTGTGGTAATGATATCGTCACGTCCCTACCACTGGGCTGGGTTAAGCCTTGAGGAGCTTGTTGATAAAGGGAAGTCAATCTCTTGGGCAATTAAACATTCTTTTATATATTAGTATCCCACCTAGTAGGAATGAAATATCAATGAAAATTGAGAGAAATACAATGCAAAAGATCTTCAGGACCTTTTTCACTAGATGCTGATAAATTATTGAAGACTTCTTACATAGAAAAAAATAAAACCAGAGGAAAGTAATTTCTGCTTGACCCTCATAAAACAAGCAAATAGAGACTTTATGAGATATTAAAATACAAGCGTAGCCTCCACTTATTAAATGGATAGTGGAATAATTTATAAATATAGAGCCCAAAGTAAAATTAAAGTTGTTTATGAGCATAATTATAAATAAGGAATTGGTTCCATCAACATCACAAGCATACTACATGACCTGAAAAAGTTCCCACCGACAAGAATATTACAAATGAAGTCAAAGCACACCTGACCTTAGGACATCCTAAAACACTATCAAGTGAAGATTATCCCAAGATTCCAAAAGTACATAGGTTCTACAAAGACACATCCATATTGGCTTCTGCTTATTCAAGGCACCATCCGGGAAAACTCCTTGGCGTGATTTGCGGAGCTGAGAACAGGGAGTAAATAGGACTGTCTTCCCTATTTTCTCTTCTGAAGGTGCACGTCACTTGCTGCTTCATGATGCTGCATTTATTCATCAATGGAAACCCCTAACCCCCTGCTGTCTTGCTGGCTTTCTCATTTGCAGCCAACATACGGGGTCCTCGGCACTGCCCCCCGCCCCGCAAGAGCTGCCTTTAAGGGCACAGACTCACACAAAAAGGTTTTCTTGGGATAAAGAACTGGAGGAAAACTCTTTGCACAATTTGGCTTTGGGGATCAGATTTCAAAGTCTTCACCCTGCCTGGATAGGCACAGACCCAAACAGTGTCTGGTGAGGGAACAAAGTCACTTTCCTCCTGGGCTTGCTCTTCTCCGGGGCACCTCGGGGTTATTGATGACACATCTCCAGAATTGCTGAATGTTAAACTGGAGAAACCAGATTTTCTTTTTTTTTAATTTTTTTATTGTTATGTTAATCACCATATATTACATAATTTGTTTTGGTGTACTGTTCCATGATTCATTGTTTGTTCATAACACCCAGTGCTCCATGCAGAATATGCCCTCCTCAATACCCATCACCAGGCTAACCCATCCCCCCACCCTCCTCCCCTCCAGAAACCTCAGTTTGTTTTTCAGAGTCCATCATCTCTCCTGATTCGTCTCCCCCTCTGACTTACTCCCCTTCATTCTTCCTCTCCTGCTATCTTTTTTTTTCTTTTTTCTTAAAATATGTTGCGTTATTTGAAACCAGATTTTCTAAAGGACACTTACAACTCTAGTAACCCTGCAGGGCTCTCTGCCAGTGGAAAACCTACTCTGTAATACCAGGTCTCTGATTCTGCCATGCTGAATCTCCATGAAAGGAATCATCTTCCTTGCTTTACAAAACGCACTACTATCAAAGATGAAAGAAAGTTTGGAAGAAAAACAAAGTCATTAGAGAACTATATGTGGACAGGGGAGTCCTTCCCAAGGGCAGGTTTCTGGGTGATGATCTGTCCCGACCACCTCATCACCTAACTGGAAGATGTCCAGTCTCTCCACGTGATCCTTGAAGGACAGTCAGAGAAGAGAAGGTGAGCAGGAAGGTTAACAAGTGCTCATCAAGTATAGATAAGCCTCAGAGTATAGAATTGGCCTGGTTCGTTTTTTATTCAGAAGTATGTATTGAGTGTCTACCATGTGCCAGACACCATGCCAGGGGCCAAGGTGACCAAGGCACGTGACACAAGCTTTCTGCCATTCTGGAGTTCACACTGTAGTAGGGCTTACAGCCCAACCGAGGAACCAGAGGAGACACACGTGGGAGCAAGAGAGGTACTTGGTTGTAGAGCGATGACAGGAGTGTTCCAGGACCAGAAAGCACAGATTGGAATTAGGACCTTGAGATTTCGGAATGCATTGGGAGATGGGAGCCAGGAAAACATTTTCAAGGAACTGAGCTGAGACTAAATATGGAAAAGTTTATTTGTTTACATCTCAAGGTCCCAAACCAGTAAGAGAAGCAGAATTACCACTCAGCAAAGTCCCAGCTGGCCTCTGTACCGCTCGGCTTGGCAGCTGCTTCTTTCAGCACCACACAGCTGGGGAGCGAGCCGCAGATGGAGCAGTGGCAGCCAAAATCTTTTTAGAGACAAATGACACTGTGATTTTCCTTGACACCCATTGAAATTCCTCACTAATTTCCAAAAATATCTTATGCTTGCTGTAAAACAACCAGTGGGGCTCAGACATTTCAGTTGAAAACAAAGCAATCCCAGCCGCCTAAGCGTTCCGAGCCCGAATTAGCCAGACCCAGGAGAACCACTTACTTACTGAAGGCCATCCTGGGACACCAAGCGGCTGAGATCCTGGCCAAGGGAAACTGGAATGGTGTTTGCTCTCTTCATTCACCTCCATCCCTGTTCTTCAGTTGCTTGCCCGACCGGCTGGTGCCAGAGCAGAGGAACCCAAGAGCAAGGACGGCAACTAGAAACGGGGCAGAGAGCCCATAACTGCCGGGCCTGGACAAAGAGCAATCGTGGCCACATATTAGAGTCTGACTTTGTTGTCCCTGAAGCTTTATGGGAGAAGTTTGGGGATATGAGGATGAAATAACGCAAGCAAAGAGCTTTCCTTCTCTACAATTTCTCTCTTTTTCTCTCCCAAAGAACTCAAAGGGAGTGGGGAAAGAGTGGATGTGTTCTCAAATCAAAGGCAAAGAAGTTCCTGAAACTTCCAATTAGAGAGAAAATCAGAAGTTCTGGCACGCTCTCCCACTAAGATTCCAGTGATCCTATGGATAGATGCGTGATACTAAGGACCCAGAGTGGTAGAGACCATCAGAGAGAATGGCACTGGGCTGGGGCACATAGGAGCCAGTTGTGGGTTGATTTGATCTGACCATGGGGTCTTTTTGCTTCTTCAAGTTTTCCTATTCTTTCTTCATCCAGATGGACAAAAAAAAAAAAAAAAACCCAGAAAACAAAAAACAAACAACAACAACAAAAACCCGCCATGACAAGGGCTTTAGCTCCTACGGGCCTCTATCTTTAGCTGCCCAAGACTCCTTTGCCTAAGGACATAAAGTGAGTGACACAGCTCCATTCAGGTCCTCCTGTACCTGCCCAAAGTCCTACACACAGCCTAACATACCTCAGCCAACACCTCCTTCCCTCAGCAGAATGTTCTGTGCCACACTTGAAATTATAAGCTCTGTGTCTCCCTTGGTAACTATGGCTCAGGTAGGGATCTATGACTAAGGCCACTACCCCAACCATGGCAAAGCAGAAGGGATGTGGCAAAGAACCAACATCTGCAGTAGGCTTACCAGCGTGTGCCAGGCATCAGGATAAGTGCTTCACATGTGTTCTCTCATTTCAACCTCAGGACATCCCTGCAAGGTAACTACAATGACCCTATCTGCAGATGAGGAAATCAAGACTTGGAGATGTAACTTACCCAGCTCCTGGTAAGTTGCAAAAGAGGATTCAAAAATCAGAGCCATTAGCCCTGCAAAGCCAGTTTTCCTTTTGCTTATAGATGACATGGGTAGTGATACCACATAGCCACCCTGGGTGACGTCAGAATGTTGGCCACTGCAATGACCAACAGGGTCTAGCCAGGTGGGATTTATCCTGCTGGGGCAGAGGGCCCCCTCTCCCTACACCTACAACAATGGATAGAAGACCAGCCTCCCAGGTTTTGGCAAATCCTTTCCTAATCCCATCCTTCAC